GGCAACAATACCTACACGCCCGCCTCATTCGCATCGGCTTCAAGCTATTGCCGCACAACCAGGGCATGTACCGGCTCACGAAGGGTACCGACTACATAATGCTAATCGTCTATGTAGACGATCAGCTCTACATCGACTCAACTGACGGCGTTACAACCTGGTTCGAAGGGGAGCTACAGCAAGACCTCACACTCACGGTCTCATCTACCGTCACACAGTACCTCGGCCTCAACATCCGGGAAGAAGAAGACGCTATCTACCTCAGCGCCGCGAAATACGCCGACACCATCGCCAAGCGTTTCGCACTCACACCGACTGCTATCTCCACACCGTACCACTACACGACAGCAAGCAACAAGGAAGGCTCCACTCTACTCAAGCCCGCCGGCATACGCGACTACCAGAGAAAGCTGGGCTGCCTTCTCTTCGCAGCTGTCACCTGCCGCCCAGATCTATCCTAATCTGCAAGCCAGCTTGCCACCTACCTCAAGAAGCCTGAAGCGGAACATTTGTCGGAGCTCGACCGCCCTCTTCACTACCTTGTCAGTACCCTGACGGTCGGACTGACTTACCATAAGAACGCAACTACAACGCCTAAGCTAATCAGTTACGTCGACGCAGATCACGCGGGCGACTCCAACAACACACGATCGCGCACCGGCTACATCTACCGCCTCGAACCTATCGGACCTATCTCCTGGCAATCGAGCGAGCAAGAACTAATTGCTCTCTCGTCAGCTGAAGCAGAATCTATTGCACTCTGCTCAACCACCAAGGAAGGACTCTATCTTCGCGAGCTGCTGGAAGAAGCGAAGTTAGCCGAGTTACACAACTTTACCCTGTTCTGCGACAACCAGTCGGCAATTCGCATCGCCAACAAGAACGGCTTCGCGAACAAGACAAAACACATCGCCCTACGATATTTCTTCGTGAAGGACGAGATCGAGAAAGGAAGGCTTGAGCTGTCATACTGCCCCACGTCCGAGATGGCAGCTGACTACCTGACCAAGAAGCTCGGAAAGCAGAAGTTTGAATACTGCATGCTACTGGCTGGACAGAGCCACGTCAGCGACACTCCAGAAGCGAAGAGGAGTGTTGGAAACAGTCATTCCTAAGCGCCTCTGTCGTGTCGAAACACTAAGGCACAAGCGAAGAAAAGCATATCGAGGCACTAGCAAGTCAACCCTCGGAGGTTGAAGTAACCGCTGGAAATTACGCGAAAGTTAAAGGTCAGCGACTTTTGACCTGACAAATACAGCGCGACAGCAAGGACACACAACTGACTCGTTACAGAGCATTTGCCTGAGTCGTCACTGTATCGAACCGCAACAGCAACAGTAAAGTAGTTATAACTGTCAAATATTATAGCCTGTAGTGGGTTGGGCTATATGGGGTACAACTAGTTAGGGTTAGGTTATGTACCCCAATTCTGTCAATACAACGCATTCCGCTGTAGTTCTCATTCTAACATGGTATCAGCAGTAGGTTAGCGCTCCTAGTCCTAGGCCCGCCCTTCCCTACCACTAGGGTTACCACTGCGCCCTGCCAGCCCGCCAACGCCCTACCCCACGCCCCAGCCGGCGCGCCCCTCCCCTCCCCGCCCTTAGCCAGCGCGCCCGCCAGCCAGTCAGCGCGCCAGCCAGCCAGCGCGCCAGCAGCCTGCGCGCCTGCCAGCCAGCCAGCGCGCCAGCCAGCCAGCGCGCCAGCAGCTAGCGCGCCAGCCAGCCAGCGCGCCAGCCCGCCAGCGCGCCAGCCAGCCAGCCAGCGCGCCAGCCAGCCAGCGCGCCAGCAGCCTGCGCGCCAGCCAGCCAGCCAGCGTGCCAGCCAGCCAGCGCGCCAGCCCGCCAGCGCGCCAGCCAGCCAGCGCGCCAGCCAGCCTGCGCGCCAGCCCGCTTGCACGCCAGCCCGCCAGCGCGCCCGCCAGCGGGCGCACCAGCGAGCCCGCCGGCTCGCCTGCCAGCGCGCCCGCCAGCGAGCTCGCCAGCGCGCCCGCCAGCACGCACGCCAGCGCGCCCGCTAGCGCGCCTCATGTCTGTGCCATGCTGCTCACTCCTGAGGGAGACCCCGACGCTCCTGACATACCTACTCCTCGCACTTACGCTGAGGCAGTGTCAGGGCCTTGGGCCTCTCAGTGGAGAGCTGCCATGGACGCAGAGATGGCCTCCTACAGGTCCACAGGCACTTACGTTGACGAGGTTCCCCCCCCAGGGGCGAACATTGTTGACGGCATGTGGATCTTCAAGGTGAAGCGGCCGCCGGGATCTCCCCCAGTCTTCAAGGCACGCTACGTGGCTAGAGGGTTCAGTCAGCGCGAGGGGGTTGACTTCTTTCAGACCTTCACGTCCACCCCGAAGATGACCACTCTTCGGGTGTTACTGCACGTAGCAGCGCAGAGAGACTACGAGCTACACTCTCTTGACTTCTCCACTGCCTTCCTCCAGGGCTGCTTACACGAGGAGATCTGGCTACGTCGTCCTCCGGGCTTCACTGGCACTTTCCCGCCTGGGACCCAGTGGAGCCTCAGACGACCGGTCTACGGTCTCCGCCAGGCACCCCGTGAGTGGCACGACACTCTCCGCTCTACTCTCTCCGACCTCGGGTTTGAGCCGTCTTCCGCCGACCCGTCGCTGTTTGTTCGTCGTGGTCGTACACCTTTCTTCGTCCTAGTCTACGTTGACGACTTGGTTTTTGCCACGGCCGACACAGCTGCACTGGCGGAGGTGAAGTCCGAACTGCAGAAGAGACACACCTGCACTGACCTTGGGGAACTGCGCCGCTACCTTGGCCTACAGATCTCCAGGGACAGAGCCGCTCGCACCATCACTCTCACTCAGTCACACATGGTGCAGCAGGTTCTTCAGCGGTTCGGGCTTCAGGACTCTTCTCCTGCCCCCACTCCTCTTGCTGTAGACCACAGACTCACTGGGCCTTTTCCTGACGAGCCGTTCGAGCCCAGTGGTCCCTACGCAGAGCTGGTGGGCTGCCTCATGTACCTGATGACGTGCACTCGCCCGGACCTCGCCTTCCCCCTTAGCATCCTGTCTCGCTTTGTTGCGACTGGGAGACACCGTCCTGTTCACTGGGCGGCGGCTAAGAGGGTGGCGAAGTACCTTGGCGCGACATCAGGCATGGGGCTTGTACTTGGAGGGACACAGCCAGTTGTACTCACCGGTCACTGTGACTCTTCCTACGCTGACGACGTTGAGACTCAGAGGTCTACGCAGGGTTACTGTTTCAACCTGGGTTCTGGAGCTGTTTCGTGGAGGTCTACTCGGTCCTCCTCTGTTGCGACTTCTACCGCAGAGGCCGAGATCTACGCTGGGGCCCTTGCTGCTCAGGAGCTACGCTGGTTGACCTTTTTTCTCACTGACCTTGGTGAGCGGCCGAGCTCTGCACCGACCCTGTTTGCTGACAACAGGGCGATGATTCTCCTGTGTCGTGAGCCTCGACTGGAGAGCCGAGTGAAGCACATCGACGTCAGGTACTTCCTCCTTCGAGAGTTGCAGAGACGCGGACAGGCTCGTCTGGACTTTGTGGCATCCGAGGCCAACACTACAGACATCTTCACCAAGGCCCTCCAGCCTTGTGACCACCGTCGGTTTTGTCTGCAGTTAGACCTCGTTGAGACTGGGTCTAGTTGACTGTTGTAGGGTGCTCTTTGTCTGTTGCTTGCTTGTACCTTATATATATCTATATATATTTGTTTGCACACTTTTGGACTGGCCTTGTGGCCCTTTGCTTGTGCTCAGATTAGGTGGTGACGTTGTGATCCACCCTGAGCTTTGTTTTCTTTCTCTTGTTTTTGACTGGTCTTGTGACCGTAGGTTGCCTGTTGTTAATTGGCCTTCCCCACTTAGGCTATGGGGGTGTGACAAATATTATAGCCTGTAGTGGGTTGGGCTATATGGGGTACAACTAGTTAGGGTTAGGTTATGTACCCCAATTCTGTCAATACAACGCATTCCGCTGTAGTTCTCATTCTAACAATAACTGTGTCTTTTCATAATCCTTGTATTCATATATAATCTTGTATCTCTTTGTTTTAATCAACTTACTTTGCCCTCACATACTAGCGCAAGGTGGTTCACAACTCTTTATTAAACACTTCCGCTACTACACCAACTCTACCCAGAGTTCACCCCTGCAAAGATCCTTAGGGCTTTTTCAGCCCAACAACTGCCACTGTGCCCGATGCCTTTGCTGCCCCCCCCCCCCTCCTGCCGCCGCCGCCCCTGTTCCTGCTTTTTAGATAAGGCGTTAAAGAAGGGCTTCTTGTGGAATCAATGTTGAATTGAATGCACAGTTGTGAATGATTGTGTTTGAAGTAGTCAGAAGGCTTGTATCCGTGTGTAACCTCTCCCTCTACATACACACATGCCTCTAGCACACCAGACCATTCAGTTTTCCATGCTTCTTTTCCAAGATTTATGCAGTACCAGTACATGTGAAGAAGCAAGTACCAGTACTGGTACCTCCATTCAGTGTTAATCCAATCCCTACTTTGTAGGATTTCGTGCTTGTTGAAGTTTATATGTAAACATGCTGGTGGGTGATAAGTCAAGTGTACTACGGTCTACAGAACATTATTGTACCCATTCCCTTGCTGTTTTTGGCTCGGACTTTGTCCGCCACGCCAGGCAGCCGCAGTTCCCAATGCATACCTTCGTCTGACAGCGGCAAATGTAGTGTGCATTTCTAGTAGGCATGCATACTACTATTTGGCACTCCCGTTTCTCCATGTAGGTACTACTAGTCTAGTTCTTCCTCCGCGCAGCCCGTTTCTCCATTTCAAGCTCGGGATGGTTCGCCGCCCAGAGCGTTACTATAGCCAGCTACCGCCGCGCGCGCGCGCGCACGCGCGCTCGTTTCGATAAGAAGTTGCCCGTTTAGACTGTAGAACTTACCGTTGTGTGCCGCTCGTAGGCTCACGGCTCGTAGGCTCAGGACTCGTAGGCTCGTAACTTTTAGAGTTCTCAGAAATACCCTGCAACCTCAGCACCATGGCTGTCCGCAACCCCTTGTCCCGCTCGTCCCCCCTTACCGCGCCTTTAATTCCGTCCCCACGCCGCGTGATTCACATACCTCGTGTTCTCTCTCGGCTCGGATTGGCTCTCGCCGCGGTTGTTCTTCTAATCGCGGGGATCCACGTGGCGCCTGGGTATTGGTCGAAGGCGTGGCTTGGGATATGCCCCGCGCCGCTATGCGAGAACGGACGCGATTGCGCTAGCAGTTCCGGGTTTTTTCGGCGTGGATTCCGGAGCCTCTGCTGGAGCTGGCGTTGTCACTGCTCCTATAGCGGATTTCATGGCAATTGTATCGAATGACAGTTTAGCGGAGTTTTTGAAAGTGGTCACAAAACGTCCCCACATTGCGGGTACCCCTGAAAACTTTGAAACTGCCCGATACGTGAAAGAACAGTTGGAGGTGAGCCGCGCGCACGCGTTTTAAGCTGCTATTTTAGGCGTACTATAGTTAATAGCTTCGGCTCTGCACTAACGAGCTTGGCTTTCCCGCCCATTCTTTCCCGCCCGTTCTTTCCCGCCCATTCTTTCCCGCCCGTTCTTTCCCGCCCATCCTTTCCCGCCCATTCTTTCCCGCCCATTCTTTCCCGCCCATTCTTTCCCGCCCATTCTTTCCCACGCATTCTTTCCCGCCCTTTCTTTCCCGCCCATTCTTTCCCGCCCATTCTTTCCGCGCATTCTTTCCCGCCCAATCTTTTCGGCCTATGATCCCCGTTTCTTCCCTCAGTTCTCTCCCTCTCCCCTCCCTTTCCCCCCTGTGCCCCTATTTCCCCCCCTGCGCTTTCCCCCTCCTCTCCCCCTCCGCCTTCCCCTCCCTGTCTCAGGCGTTTGGCATCGCAGCCCATTACGCCGATTACCCAGTGCTGCTCTCCCCCTCCCCCCCTGTGCTCGCCCCCTCTCCCCGTGTTCACCCCACAGGCGTTTGGCATCGCAGCCCACTACGCCGATTACCCAGTGCTTCTGAGTCGGCCAATCAGGCAGCGCCTCGCGATCGTTGAGCCAATCACGCGCGAGCTGTCGCTCCGGGAGCTTCCCGTACCTGGCGACCCGTACTCCCACGACCCTCTGGCTTCGGTGCCGTTCCTGGCTTACACGCCCGGGACGAAGGGGAGGAGGAGCAGGGGAGGAAGGGGAGAGGGGAGAGGAGGAGGAGGAGGAGGAGGAGGAGGAGGAGGAGGAGGAGGAGGAGGAGGAGGAGGAGGTAGAGGAGGAGGAGGAGGAGGAGGAGGAGGAGAAGGAGGCGATGAGGAAGGGGGAAGTGTGAGGGGACCTGTCATATATGCCAACTATGGAACAGAGGAGGATTTCCAGATGCTGATTGATCTGCTGCGAGAGGGAGGGAGCGGGAAAGGAGGGGAAGGAGGAGGGGGAGGAGGAGAGGGGGAAGGAGGAGAGGGGAGGGGTAAAGGGGGGGTGGAGAGGGGAGGAGGCGCGGGAGGAGGTGGAGGGGGAGGCGAAGGGGCATGTGCAGGAGCGATAGTGCTGATGCGATATGGGAAGATCTACAGAGGAGACAAGGTGGGGGGCTGGAGATTTGGTTAGGGGTTGATTGTTACGAATGTTTTGCTTTTACAGGTTTTGGTTTACTTCTCGAGTCGACTCAAAAGTTCTCTCGCACCGCTTCACCCTGTTTGCCCTTTCCCCCCTTTCCCCCCTTTCCCCCCTTTCTCCCCTTTTCCCCCCTTTCCCCCCTTTCTCCCCTTTCTCCCCTCCCTCACCATCAGGTGCGCAATGCAGCAGCGTGTGGCGCCAAGGCAGCAATAATCTACTCCGACCCAGCAGACTACGGCAGCACCACTCTCTACCCCTCTGGCCCGGGCCTGCCACCCTCTGGCGCCCAGGTGAGATTTCTGCTGTCTTCTCTCCGCTCCAGGGCATTTTTAGAGACGCATTCCACGAGTCCTCGGCTTTTGAGAACCCAAGTGACTTTTGAGTCGACTCAAAAGTCATCAGGTGAGATTTCTGCTGTCTTCTCTCCTCTCCAGGGCATTTTAAGAGAACCTTGGCTTTTAAGAGTGACGCATTCCACGAGTCCTTGGCTTTTGAGAACTTCCCTCCTTCCCCCCCTCCCACCCCCAACCCGGCTCAATCTACGAGTCTCTCGGAGATCCACAGGCGCCAGGCTGGCCGTCTCGCCTGCCCAACCTCCCAACCCCAACCAACCCCACACTCCTCTTCCCAACCTCCCAACCCCAACCAACCCCACACTCCCCACCCCTCCCAACCCCAACCAACCCCACACTCCCCACCCCACCCAACCCCACCCCCCTCCCTGCTTCCCCGAAACAGCGCGGCTCAATCTACGAGTCTCTCGGCGACCCACAGACGCCAGGCTGGCCCTCCCGCCCGGGCGGCGAGCGCTTGTCCTTATCCGAGGTGGCCGGCAGCCTGCCGCCCATCCCCGCCCTGCCGCTGTCGTACGGGCAGGCGAATTATATCCTGGAGCTGCTTGGGGGTGCTTTTGCCCCAGAAGAATGGATTGGGGATATCGAAGGGTTGGAGTATCGTGTTGGACCGGGTCCTGTAGTGGTGGAGATGGAAATAGAGGTGAGATGTGGTGGATGGTGGTGAGGAGGGGTGTAGATGGGTGGATTGGGGCGATTGAGGGGCTAGTGGAGTACCGTGTTGGGCTGGGCCGGGGCCTGAAGTGGTGGAGATGGAAATAGAGGTGAGGGAGATACTGGTTGTGAGTGTTGAGGCATGAGCGGGGTGGAAGGGAAAGATCAAAGGGGTGGATGTGGTTGGCTTGGCTCAAATTAGTCCTCTTCAGCAACATTTCTCCCTTGGCTTCGCCTCGCCCCCTGCTCTCCCTTGCCATCATGTCTCCATGATCCAAACCATACCCAGTTTCCCTTTCCCCCCCCTTGCCCTGTTTTCTTTCCCCGTGCTTTCCCCATCATCCTGCCCAGACCAGAATTGCTGCTGTGGATTATTAAATAAGAGTGTTGTGAATATCTGCTCGCCCGCCCCCGCCACAACCATCTCTCCTACCCCAATCCAGGTGAACGACACCGTTACTAGCATTCGCAACGTGATTGGGTCGATCAAGGGCCAATCGGAACCTCACAGGTGGGTGGGGGCGTGGCAACATGGGGACGAGGGTGATATGCGTGAGAGTGTTTTGGCTTGGTCAAGTAAGAGAGTGGGTCATCATGGTAATTTTGAAGTGAAGTTATCACGACTCGTGTGTATCTGGTAATTCTTTTGGCCAAACTCATGTGGTCCTTGTTTTGGCCAGACGCATATCACACACAAACCTGTTTCGTACCCCGCACGCACGCACGCCCCATGATCTCACCCACCACCCAAGTCCCCCATGCCCTCTGTGCCCCTTCACTTCCCCTCGCACGTGCAGATACGTGCTGGTGGGGAACCACAGGGACGCGTGGGTGTTAGTTGCTGCAGACCCCAACCCAACCCACGTCCCATGCTCTCCCTTCCGTGTCTGTTACATACGTCCCATACCCCTATCCTATGCCCCACCGCACGTGCAGATACGTGCTGGTGGGTAACCACAGGGATGCGTGGGTGTTTGGCGCTGCAGACCCCAACAGTGGCACGGCATGCATGCTCGAGGTAGGGAGGGACTACCACCCTATGTTTGAAGCTATGCTATTGCATGCTCATGCGTTCATGCGTTCATGCTGCCTGCTGCCTGCTGCCTGCAGTGCTTGCTTTCCCCCCCCACACCTTTCCTCCCACCCACCTTTCCTCCCACACACCTTTCCTCCCACACACCTTTCCTCCCACACACCTTTCCTCCCACACACCTTTCCTCCCCCACACCTTTCCTCCCCCACACCTTTCCTCCCCCACACCTTTCCCTCCCCCACACCTTTTCTCCCCCACACCTTTCCTCCCCCACACCTTTCCTCCCCCACACCTTTTCTCCACCCCTGGCTGGCTTCTCTCCCCTCCTCCTTCAGATGGCACGCGCGTTTGGGTCATTGCTGGCTGCTGGGTGGCGCCCTGCGCGCTCCATCGTGTTTGATCCCTCCTCCCATCCCCCACCATCCCCCCCCACCCCCCCCCCGATCCCCACCCATCCCTCCCCCACTAACCCCCCCCATCAGATGGCACGCGCGTTTGGGTCATTGCTGGCTGCTGGGTGGCGCCCTGCGCGCTCCATCGTTTTTGGCTCGTGGGATGCAGAGGAGTTTGGACTGGTGAGCATGGGTGGGGAATGAGGAGGTATAGATGGGAGGGACTGATGGGGCTGGCTGTGACGACTGGGGAGGGAGGGGGCATATGGTATCAAGAGGGAGGAGCCACATGGTATCAAGAGGGAGGAGCCATATGGTATCAAGAGGGAGGAGCCACATGGTATCAAGAGGAGGAGCCACATGGTATCAAGAGGGAGGAGCCACATGGTATCAAGAGGGAGGAGCCACATGGTATCAAGAGGGAGGAGCCACATGGTATCAAGAGGGAGGAGCCACATGGTATCAAGAGGGAGGAGCCACATGGTATCAAGAGGGAGGAGCCACATGGTATCAAGAGGGAGGAGCCACATGGTATCAAGAGGGAGGAGCCACATGGTATCAAGAGGGAGGAGCCACATGGTATCAAGAGGGAGGAGCCACATGGTATCAAGAGGGAGGAGCCACATGGTATCAAGAGGAGGAGCCACATGGTATCAAGAGGGAGGAGCCACATGGTATCAAGAGGGAGGAGCCACATGGTATCAAGAGGGAGGAGCCACATGGTATCAAGAGGGAGGAGCCACATGGTATCAAGAGGGAGGAGCCACATGGTATCAAGAGGGAGGAGCCATATGGTATCAAGAGGGAGGAGCCACATGGTATCAAGAGGGAGGAGCCACATGGTATCAAGAGGGAAGGAGCCACATGGTATCAAGAGGGAGGAGCCACATGGTATCAAGAGGGAGGAGCCACATGGTATCAAGAGGGAGGAGCCACATGGTATCAAGAGGGAGGAGCCATATGGTATCAAGAGGGAGGAGCCACATGGTATCAAGAGGGATGGACAGTTTTCAAAGCTCGACTCACTCAGAGTGGGTGGATGGAGGACAACACCCCAATTCTCTCGTAGGAGTGGGTTTGTGGAGACCACTCAAGAGATTCTCAAGAATCTTCAAAAGCTCTTCACCCTCCCTCCCACCAATCACTCCGACTCGTCAGATTGGGCCCACAGGGTGGGTGGAGAGGACAACGCCCCACTGCTCTTGTCAATGCCCTTGTCTTTATTAACTCACTCACTCACTCGCCCTGCCATTCTCCCTCCGCTATTCTCCCTCCCACTCGCCAGATTGGGTCAACCGAGTGGGTGGAGGACAACGCCCCGCTGCTCTCCTCTCGCGCTGTCGCTTACATAAACGTCGACACCGCCGTGTCTGGCGCTGGTTTTCATGCTGCTGCCACTCCACAGCTGGATGACGTCATCAGAGAGGTTGCTGAGCTGGTGAGTTTAGAGTCCACTCAAAGGAGCTTGTGAGTGATTTGCAAGCGGTCGTGCACTTGTGGTGGTGCTGCTGGGATCGTTGAAGCGTGTCGGGTGCTGGGCTGTGTGCTGCTGCCACTCCACGCTGGATGACGTCATCAGAGAGATGGCTGAGCTGAGCTGGTGAGACCTGCAGGTGCCTCTGCATGCGCTTTCCGCTTTTTTTTCTTCTTTTTTTGGGGGGGGAGGGGGGGGTGTATGTGTGTGAGTGTGCGCGCATGCGTGCGTGCGTGCGTGCGTGCATGCGTGCGTGCTTTCTATGCGCTTCATTAGTTTTGTCTTTTTTGGCTGTCTCGTGTTTTTTTTGCACCGTCCGGTTCAGGCAACCCATCATGCCCCTTCGTCTTGGGAAGTCACGCCTTGTCTTTGTATTGCACAGGTGGAGGATCCAGACAAGCAAGGCCAGTCGGTGTATGCCTCGTGGGCTGAGAGGACCAACCGCACTGTGCCCTATGTGAGTAGCCTGTGAGTGGGGTGTGAGTCGCCTGCTATGGGCTGTGAGTGGGTAAATTGGTGTGTGTTGGCTTGTTAAAAGCACAGCAAGGCCAGTCGGTGTATGCCTCGTGGGCTGAGAGGACCAACCGCACCGTGCCCCATGTGAGTCAGTCTGCTGGTAGTGGGCTGTGGTGGGTGCTGATACTGTCATGTGTGAGTAGTCCGGTGGGTTACTTGCTGTTCCTTCCATCTCCTCGTTTTTGTGCTGTGCACCGTATTGTATTGTATGGTGTAGAATATGGTATGGTATCATATCATATCATATCATATCATATCATATCATATCATATCATATCATATCATATCATATCATGCCATATCATACCATATCATATCATATCATATCACATATAATATCGTATCATATCATATCGTATCATATCATATCATATCTTCCACCAGCTTGGCAGGCTGGGCGGCGGCGGCAGCGACTATGCTCCGTTCCTGCAGCACCTTGGGATTGCCGCCGCTGACCTGCACTTTGGGGAAGGTGTGTTCTGATGGGAAGGTGGGTCTTGAGGGGGAGGTGCGGAATGAGGGAGCTACTTCTGAGATTTCTCACAAAGACCATTGAAATGTCTAAGCGCGAGTTATTAACAGCAGCTTGATATTGCCCCCACTGATTGCCCTCCTCATTCATAACTCCCTTTGCCTTCCTGGCCCTGTCCCCGCCCCTCTCTTTGCCTTCCTGGCCCTGTCCCCGCCCCTCTCTTTGCGCTCCTCACTTATCCCTCTCACTAACCGCCCTCAACTTTCATATCACCACTAAGTAGCAACCATCCTAGATCCTCTCTTTCCTTCCTCACCCCATCCCGCCTATGCCCCCCGTCACGCCCCAATCACCCCCCTCCCAGACTACCCCATGTATCACAGCCTGTACGACAGCTACCACTGCATGACAACTGTACTAGACCCTCGCTCACATCATCCCTCCCACCACCCACCCCTCCCTTCAAGGTTCATGATGGGAGTAGCAGCAAACTTATGAGAAAACGCTTAGCAAAAGGATCAAGACTTGTGATACTTGCATGACAACTGTACTGGACCCTCTCTCACATCAACCCTCCCACCACCCACCCCTCCCTTCTCCCCCTCCCAGACTGCCCCATGTATCACAGCCTGTACGACAACTACCACCATCTTGGGAGCATCATTGTTCCGCTCCTTGCCCTCCTCATCCCATCCCACCTACTCCCACCCCTCCAGACTACCCATGTATCACAGCCTGTACGACAACTACCACTACATGACAACAGTCCCTGGACCCTCTCTTTTCACCTCACCTTACCCCTCTCAACCCACTCCCACACCCCCAGACTACCCCATGTATCACAGCCTGTACGACAACTACCACTACATGACAACCGTCCTGGACCCTCTCTTTTCACCTCACCTTACCCCACTCAACCCACTCCCACACCCCCAGACTACCCCATGTATCACAGCCTGTACGACAACTACCACTACATGACAACCGTCCTGGACCCTCTCTTTTCACCTCACCTTACCCCTCTCAACCCACTCCCACACCCCCAGACTACCCATGTATCACAGCCTGTACGACAACTACCACTACATGACAACCGTCCTGGATCCTCTTTTCGCCCGCCACCGCGCCTCAGCCCAGCTGTGGGGTGCTCTTACTCTGCGCCTGGCAGGAGACGCAGCGCTCCCTTTCAACTTCTCCACATACGCCCTCAGGCTCAAGGTGCGTGTGCGTTCTCCCTTCACCCGCCATCGTGCCACAGCCCAGCTGTGGGGGTCCCTTGTGACTTTTCAGTCGACTCAAAAGTCACTTTGTGCCACAGCCCAGCTGTGGGAGTCCCTTGCCCTGCGCCTAGCAGGAGACGCGGCTCTCCCTTTCAACTACTCCACTTACGCCCTCAGGCTCAAGGTGGGTCGCAAGCCCATGTGAGGTGACTTTTGAGTCAGCAGTGGGTCAAGGTGATTTGCGATACCCACTCAACAGTCACAAGTCACCTCAGGCTCTCAAGGTGGGTCGCAAGCCCGTCTGCTGAGCCTTGTGCATGTGGGTGCAGTCGCAGTTATAGTCGCACATGCCCGCACCCACGCACACTCACACACACACACACACACACACACACACACCCACGCACCCACGCACCCACGCACCCCTACACACGCCCACGCACACTCCCCTCACACACTCGTTTTCATGCACTCGTTTTTACAGCAGAACGTGTCATGGCATGGCACACCCCATCTGACCCCTCATTCTCACCCGCCTCTTTCCCTGGAATACAGTCTACTCCAATGAGTGGGAGGCTTCGTTACAGTCACATGCAGCACAGCACCACGTATCATGTCACACCCCATCTGGCCCTGCTCTCATGCACCCATCACACCCCGTGTTTGAAGAAGTGTTTTGAGACGTCTCAAAACCCTGCTCTCATGCACCCATCACACCCCGCATTTACCCCCCCCTCTGCCTTCCCCCGGATTACACCAACGAGCTGGAGGCCTCGTTACTTGAGACGCCTTAAGAACCCATCTCAACCTGCATTCACACCTCCCTCCTTTCCCCAGGATTACACCAACGAGCTCCAGGCCTCGTTACAGTCACACGCAGCGCAGCAGCACGTGTCTCTGGATGCTATCTGGAACGCCATTGGCCAGCTTGAGACGGCAGTGACAGAGATCACCAATCAGAGAGCAGAAGCTATTGCAGCAGGAGAAGCAGCAGGAGAAGCAGTAGGAGAAGCAGCAGGAGAAGCAGCAGGAGAAGCAGTAGGAGAAGCAGCAGGAGAAGCAGCAGGAGAAGCAGTAGGAGAAGGAAAGCGAGCGGGAGGAGTTGAATCAGGAGTAGGCGGAGGAGGGGGAGAAGGAGAAGGAGGAGTGGCATTGGCACAGCGCAGATTGATGAGCGTATCCCCCAGCGTGCATCTTGACATGCCTCTTCCTCTTCTTCTGAGGGACATCAATGACCGACTCATGCTGGCTGAGCGCGGCTTCCTGGAAGCTGCTGGGCTCGGGCCCGGCTACACGTGGTACCGGCACATGGTGAGTATGTGGAGTGGTGATGAGGGGTGATGGGGGGTGATGGGGGTGATGGTACTGCTGTTGCGCCCTGGCACATGGTGAGTATGCGTATGTGTGGAGGGGTGATGGGGGCTGATGGTGGCTGATGAGGGCTGATGGCTCCGGTTTCACTGACTCCAATTTCACAGACTCCGGTTTACACTGTTTTTTTTTTCCTACTTGCTTGAGCCTGAACCTAAGTGCTGCTGCTCACTGGAAAATGTCAGAGGATCAGGCGTACGGCCCAGCCGGGCCAACGACTATGGGTCAGTGGCCTTCTCTCAGCCCTCGCGCCCTGCCCTCTCTCCCTCTCCCCCTGCTCCCTTCCCCCTGCAAGGTGTATGGTCCCAGTCGTGCCAACGACTATGGGTCAGTGGCCTTCCCTTCAGTGGCCGACACGCTACAGGACGCAACCAGGGGTGGTGGAGCAACATCTGGTATGAATGCCATGCATGCCATACTACCATTCATGCATACATACCATGCATGCCATACATACCATCCATGCCATACATACCATCCATGCCATACCATACCATCCATGCCATACATACCATGCATGCCATGCATACCATGCATGCCATGCATACCATCCATGCCATACATACCATGCATGCCATACATACCCATCCATGCCATACATACCATGCATGCCATATATACCATCCATGCCATACATACATCCATGCCATACATACCATCCATGCCATACATACCATGCATGCCATGCATACCATCCATGCCATATACCATGCATGCCATACATACCAATCCATGCCATACATACCATGCATGCCATACATACCATTCATGCCATACATACCATGCATGCCATACATACAATCCATGCCATACATACCATCCATGCCATACATACCATGCATGCCATACATACATGCATGCCATGCATACCATCCATGCCATACATACCATGCATGCCATAACATACCATCCATGCCATACATACCATGCATGCCATACATACCATCCATGCCATACATACCATCCATGCATACATACCATCCATGCCATACATACCATTCATGCCATGCATACCATCCATGCCATACATACCATGCATGCCATACATACCATCCATGCCATACATACCATGCATGCCATACATACCATCCATGCCATACGTACCATGCGTGCCATACATACCATCCATGCCATACATACCATGCATGCCATACATACCTCCATGCCTCATCCCATGATGCCATACATACCATTCATGCCATACATACCATGCATGCCATACATACCATCCATGCCATACATACCATACATGCCATACATACCATGCGTGCCAGACATACCATACATGCCATACATGCCGTGCGTGCCATGCGTGCCATACATACCTCTCCATTGGGACGCTTCTGCTGGTAGTACTCTTTCTCTTGAACCACTCCATCCTGCGCCGTCTCTTCTGCCTTTGGCAATCTGTCTCGTCTCGTCTCTATGTGCCTGCAGCACCGGACTGGGGCCGGGTACAGCATGAGGTTGTTCCGGGTGGCAAGGGCATTAGAGAGGGTCGCCAGACAGCTTGCGGGAGATTTGATTTGATTCGTGTTTTGAGTTGACTCAAAACACGACTGTGTGTGCCTGCAGCACTAGAGTGGGGTCGGGTAAAACACGAGGTGTTCCGAGTGGCAAGGGCGGGCGATAGAGAGGGTCGACAGACAGCTTGCGGGAAATTTGAGTTGATGATATTTGCTCCTAAAAGAGACTTGTTCACATGTATGGATCCACCGTCTGCACATTGATGGGAATTGGCTGGAATTTGACAAGCTTGCATATGTTTATTGGCCAAAAAACCCTTTCAGGTTAACAGTGTCACAAACAGCATTTACCAAAAGCACACTAACTGACCTTATTTAGCAAACCACCTATTGTAAGTATTAGCCTGTCAGGCGTCCCTTTGCACACTACTGTTACAGCAGCGCACTTGAGGTGCGCTTTGAACCGGTCTGAACCGTAAGCAAACCCCCCTCAGCACTCTCGTTGCCGCTTGTTCAAAAAGTCCACTGCGCCATCAGCCCCGCTCGCATTCCCCTCGACCTCCCTCCCCCTCTTCACACTCGACTGCGCGGACGCGGGGAAATTCACTTCCGATGGGCGGGAAAGGTCCATGGACGGGTGCGGCGGAAGCTGCGCGGGGTGGGGGAGTGGCGGATGGGCAAACCCGCGGAGGACCAGGGAGCAAGCGCTCCAGGTGGAAAGGCAGGCACGTTGAAAGGCGGAGCGAAGGGGGGAGCACCAGCGGATGCTGCGCGGACATGGGATGAAGAGGGGCGAATGCGGGAGGGTATGGCCCCATGTACGGGGACCAGGCGGAAGGCACGGGCGCGGAGATGGGGAACGGAGCATGAGCGGAAGGGCCTGCGCTCACGCTCACGCTCGCGCCAGGAGCGCTACTTGGTGCAGCTGTTGTCGAGGGGCAGAAGGCGGACGGGCTTCCACGCGCCAAACCGCCGAACGCGGAAGGCGCTGGCAAGTTGGGGAGTCCGGGGAGAGAAAGCGGAGCCTCGGCGGGAGCCTGGCCCGCCGTGAAGGGAACTCCACCGAATCTCCACGGATAAAGCGCCGCCAAACCCGCCAGGTTTCCCGCCATCCCGCTGGAGCCTGCGCGCGCGGCGCAGCAGGCGGCGCGGCGAAAGTTGCGCTGGTGGGGGCGGAAAAGGCGGAGGGAAGACCCATTTGGCGGAGAGCGGCGCTGCTGTCGACCGCCATGTGCGGAGGCAAGTGCGCCGGCAGATGCGCCGGCAGATGCGTCGGCAGATTAGACGGCACAAACTGGCCGTGTGGTAAGGCGGCAGCGAACGGATTCGAACCCGCGTCCGTCGCAGCAACAGCGGGATCCATGCCCCACCGAGAAGACCCCGCGACGGCTGCGGCGGCAGACGCGGCGGCCATTGCGGCGGCAGCGGCTGCGGCAGCAACGGCGGGGGAGCTCATACTCAGCACTTCTGCCCCCGGACTCGCCATTCCGCCGGTCAATCCAGTCAATCCGGTTAATCCAGTGACGCTGCTGCCGTCTGGGCTACAGCTGCGACCAATTGACGGACAGAAGCCAAATGGGCCGGAAACAGCCCCACCGGCCGGCGGGAGACCGGCCGTCGGCTGTTGATTCCCCGGGGAGCCGGCAACGGCGGTGGCGGTGGCGGCGCCCGCAGGAATCTTGCCCTTCCGGCGGCCGGAGCCGACGGGGACGTTGCGGAGCGTTCCGCCGGCGGTCCAGTAGCGCTGGCAGCCCTTGCAGAAGTGGCGCGGCTGCGATGCGTTGTAGTTGTTGTAGTAGCAGAACTTAGTATCCATACTCGCGCATCGCGGGCAAGGAAGCTTCTTGGTTGGCCGCTTCAGCGACTGCTGCTCTTGCTGCTCCAATTGCGGCTGCTGCTGCTCCTCCTGCCCGTCCGCACCTTCGAAAGCCGCCTGCTCCTGAGCCCCCGTCGTTGGCTGCGCCAATTGCGCTTGCGCCTGCACTAGTTGCGCCTGCCCCGGCTGTCCCTGCTCCGTTGGCTCGTCCACGCCGCTATCCCGGCCCCGTCGCTATCGCTGTGCTGATCCCCGGCGCCGGCGCCATTGCTGTGCTTATCTTGCTCTGCGTGCGCAATTGCCGAATGCTTTCTGCATCCCGCGTTGCCCTCGCAATTGTCATCCTCGCCTTCCGTCGCGCCGTTTCCTGCGCGCGGCTCGTCGACGACTTGGCTTTTCATGCTCGAGCAACTTGCGATGCGGGCTTGCTTTGGTTTGCCGGTCGCTCCCTGGCCCTCCATTGCGGCGGCTAGTATCGCATCCTGCGCATATCGAGGACAGAATAAGATGAGAAGACGGAAAAATGGGTCAGTCTCAGAAATTGGATAATCAGATGCAGATAAGCGACAAATATATGAAGATGCCTTCACCTGTACGCAAGCGGTAATCTATAAAGATACTTACAAGTCCGCGGCATTGCTGCTGTGAGGCTGCGGAATTGACGGCGGAAGATCCGGCAGTTTCGGCAGTGTCATCCTCCCGTCCGCCATTAGTCCGTCTCGATTCGCCAGACAACGACGCGCGAGGAGAGTCGCTCTGGCTGGTTGTGGCCTCTATTGTCCGACCGAACAGGCGAATTCCAGGGTCTCCGGCGTGGGTTTCAAAAACAGGCATCTGTGGCTGCGCAACGGCCGCCATTTCTTGCAATATTGCTTCTCAGTCGCGGCTCGCCAGTGGAACAAACAGAGTCTGACTCACTCAGCGCTACGCTCGTATAATATTCGGTTAGCAGAGACTCGAATTCTGGAGTAGGAAGTCGTAATAGAAAGCTTAGGATGGTCCGAAGTGGCTGTGAACCAAGAACGATGCGGATGTGTTATAGGGCGAGGGTGCTGTGTTGAGAAAAAGTGCGACACGCTGGCACAGAAAAAGGCTGGTTCGACTATAAGGTCTGCTTGCGACCAGGGCTGACGATTCAAGGGCAAATGCCCTTAATGCCCTGAACATTAAGGGTTGGGTTCGGCCCAGCTTCCGAAGTTTAAGGGTTGGATTTGAGGGCAGCCTGTCCCCGTTAAGTGCTGGTTGTGGGCCTAACCCGGATTTCAAGTGCAGATCCCGCAGCTAGCCCTAATCGTCCCATACTAATACCTCCCTCCCTTCCATTCCCTCACCAGTCCACTCGCCTCCTCCAGCCATTCCCCTACTTTTCCCATCCCTGTCAAATCCATCGACATGTTTCGTAACTCAGCTATTGCTTAGCTGGCTCTTAGTAGTTTGCCTAAGATAACGGACCCGAAGAGATGTGGGGTTTCCTTAGCGAAAGTGCAAAAAAGCTGGTAGCCCTGATTTCAAGTGCCAGGTTTGCTCTCAGCCCGTTAATTTCAGGGCAGCTTTTTGGGCACCTCTGCCTCTCAAGTTCTGGCTCCAAACCAATCGACAGCCCTGCTTGCGACGGAGTGTGCGGTGTGAGTGAGAGCTCCCCGACAGGCAGGCAGGCAGAGCCGCACACACCGCACAGCAGAAGAGGGAGTGAACGTGGGGTGAGACACGGCAGAAGCAGCGAGAGTGGATTGGAGGTTGCGGAATACGAGGTGCAGCGGCAGCACTTTTTGCTGGCGGTTGTGTGGGCTGGGCAGATTCATTTCTTTGAACAGCTGATAATTTTGTGATTTGTGTGGTCGAGAGAGATTTCGGGGGGAGGCAGGGGGGGAAGAGCGGACACGAAGCGGGAGTCTAACAAGAAGTTGGGGAGGGAAAAGTGAAGAACAAGTCCGATGGAAAGGGGGGATCGGCGACCCGCGCGTGGTTGAGGGGGCGTTTGGAGTGCCCCGCCATCCAGACTTGGCTGCTGAAAGGGAAATGGATGTGAACAGCGGTGCTGTGATTGGTTGAGTTGAACAGATGAAACTGAAAGTTCGGCAGATTTCTTCTGCGTGGTTATGGTTCCCGCCTCGCTCGTAGGAAGATTTTGCAAAGAATTCCGTCGACAGGAAAGGCGCATGGGCGATGCTGTGCTTGCCTCTGATGTGGCGCCTGAAAGGACGTACAAATTAAGAACAGGATCAGCTCAACAAATCAAGTAGTAGGAACCCACGTGTGGAACATAAGAGCACGTCATCAGGATGCCAGTACACCCAAACCAGCCCCTCATAAGCCGGGAAAATATATCGCGGATAGACCAGGCTAATGGGGTGGCGAGTATCCTAGTCATGCATTCACGTGCTACACTTTCCAGCCTAAAAGTGCTGAATCAGCAAAAACGGTGTGGAGTGGCAGCGCACCATTCGTTTCATCTCACAATCATTGCATTTCCTCCACGAGCACAAGTTCTGTGGTTCTGGATAGTCCTGCTGCGCCTAAAGCAGCCCTGGCTGAAAATGCCTGCGGCCTAGATGTTTCTTGTCCACGTATCAATTGCACGGACTGCAATGCATGCGGCTCACTCCCTGAAGATGGCGATTTTCCACGGGAACGGAACGGAATCGCCGAAACAAAAATCTCGCAGTCAAAGTAAAGTGTCTGGGCCGACCATTCCCACAAAGTGTGGAGGGAGATCCTATCCGAGATACCTCGCCCGCACTCACTAAGAATCGCATTCCATGTTTGCTGTTAAGTGCTTACAGTGTACATTTCAGTACACATCTAAGAAACTCGGTATCTAAAATCCTTTATTCTAGTATCAGGCATATTGCTGTCCACCCAAACACGGCAAGAAAGTGCTAAATCATGCACTTAAAGAAAAAAAAAAAACAGAATGAATAGAAAAATGGTGTCGCTAATTTAGGTTCTTGCTAACTCTAACCAAACTCGATATCACATTAACAACAAGCATAATACGGTCTGTGTAAGCATACTCACACTCTTACCATGCAAGCACGCACCATGGTACAGTTGCCTACCGTACTACCTGCTACGAACAGAAGGTGATCGCTGCCAGAATCTTCTCGAGAAGGTTCGCACGCAGGTTAGATAGACTAGGTGGGCCCTTAACCCCAATAGCATAGCGAATATAAAATGTTTGAGATGAGTTTAAACCATGCAAATACAGCAGCTATAAATATGAGTACAGGGAAGACGAATCGACCTAGCTAGCCATGTACTCTAAAGGGTACATTCCCTTATTCAAACTCATTCCCAACCGTGCGGAGCGTACAGTTACAAAACTGTCCCCGCCAAAAACCCTCGTGCCGCGGTTGCCCGATGGCGTCTGCTCCGACGGTCCAGATGCAATCCAACCGTCTGACGCTTCGAGTCAGTTCTGACTCTTCGTACGGTATTCGTTCTTGATAATGCATGCTTTCTTAGCCGCGGTCGGGAGTGCACTGTAATCTGTTGGAAACAATTAACTCTAAGCGCCTCTGTCGTGTTGAAAACACCAAGTCGGAAGCGAAGTGAAGTATATCGAAGCACCGGCGAGTCAACCCTCGGAGGTTGAGCGGTTGCTAGAGGTTACGCGAAAGTCAAAGGTCAGCACGACTTTGACCTGACAAGTACAGTGCGACAGCAAGGACACACAACTGACTCGTTACAGAGTAGTTGCCCGAGCTGCACTGTATCGAGCCGCAACAGCAACATCCTAAGCAGTTGCAACCGTATCTCTTCGTATTCCTTGTACTCTTATATAATCTTGTATCACCTTGCTTCAATCAATTTTTACTTTGCCCTCACATACCAGCGCAAGTGATTCAACTACTCAATCAAACGCTTCCGCTAATTACAACAAGTCCTACCCAGAATTCAGCCCTGCAAAGATCCTAAGGATTTTTCTCAGCCCAACATGGTATGAGAGCTAACAGGGGGAACTCAACTACCATCAAGTTATCTACAACATCAGAAGGCATGGCAACAAAAAAAGGAAAGGAGCTCCTCTAACGGCTCCTCGGATACTACTCCTACTCCACCTCCTGCCTCTGGCCTACAGACAGAGGAGGGTACGGCAACAAGAAGAGCAACTTCTACTGAGACTCCTGCGAATCAATCTGCAGGCTTCGATCAGAACATGATGGGGAAGTTTTTTCTCTTCATGTCCTTCCACGAGCAACACCAACAGTTGGCACCTGCGCAGTCAAACAACAGCAACAACAACAACAACGTGACTCCAATGAGCCTTGATGGTTCATCCTACGCACGTGGAAATCAACAGCAGCAACCTACCTTTGCTCCGTACGAGCCCCAGCGCGGCTCCGTCAGTTTTATGCCACAACCACAGCCTGCACCTGGACAAAGAGAAGACACTGGACGCACGTCAAGTTCAGTCGCAGTTCGCGCACGTCTTAAAACTGCAGACGTCAAGGCCCTTCGACGAAAAGGACTTCTTCATCTGGTCATTCGAGTTCGAATTGATGATGGAAGGCGCGCAGATTCTTGGCTTCTTCGACGGATCCCTGCCATACCCAACACACGGACACAGTATGACATATAGCAGTACACGTATCAGTCAATGATGGCATACATGATTCTACTAAGGAACATCACTCCAAATCAGCAGCAGAATATACGGTCTTACCGGGGATATGGCAACTCCGCCGAACTCGCATACGCCACTTGAAGAGCATGTATCAAGAAACAGACAGCGTAAATCAGAGTCGGTTGATGGCGCAACTGACAAC